CAAGCGCGGTTGCGTTAATCCGTCGCCGATTACTGCTCACCCATCCTGAGGTGAGTCAGGCACTCTTCCAGCAGGCCGATATACAGGTCGTCGGTCGCCTGGTACGTCGACAGGATGAACCGCCAAGCTTGATGGCCGCCGTAGAGTCGAAGTCTGCACGACTTCAGGGCGATATGCACAATCGGTGAGCAGCAGCGCGAGATGACCATGAAGGTCAGCAGGTGAGCCACGCGGAATTCTGCCCACAGCTCGACATCAGCCTTGTGCGGGGTCACCACGTCGCCGTCGGCGAAGCACTTGAGCCCGGAAATCTCCAGTTGGGGCTCAATTGACTCCCTCCACGTGATGAGGCCACGTCGACCTTCCAGCAGCACGTGCACGGCGATCTTGTCCGGCGAAATTTTAAAAATAATCGTAGGCTGGTGCAGTCCCGCCAGCCGTCACGTGCGTCGAGGAGCCCGGCCTGACTCCACTTCTCTGCAGGGAGCGATGTCGATTGTCGACGTCGCCGTGCGAGCTGCCAGCGGTCGCCGTCGACCGTTGCACTCGCGCATGTATTCCGCCGACCTCGTCGGTGGCGGCCCTGATCACTCCTCTCGTCATCCTTGTGCCATCGCCGCAGCCCACTTGGTCACCGTCGTTGACCTGCTCATTGACGCCGCCTTCGTTGCGCGCCGGTCGAGGAGAGGCGAACACATCGTCCGCTGCAGCACGGGGTGTCGGAGGCTCGCGCACCCACTTTATACGAGTTTATAGGATCATTACCTCCACGTCCGCTCCACCATACTCGCCATTCGTATGGCGTCTCCTAAATCAACCAACCATGCCTCCAAGCTATCCTCTACAGCGCCGACCTCTGCCAGGGTAGGTGTCATGGTCTGCACGCGCTGCCGGCCTAACAACGACTTGGATATGTGATACGTCGGCTACTATTCTTAATATGCGGGGCCGTCCACGCTCACCGCACCATGCGGAGAGTCACTATACAACGGGAGTGGACTACGGAGGAGGGCACGGGGTTGTGCGGGTGATCGTAGCGTTCTACTAGTGTTCTTATAGCTTGCTATGTTCACAGAGAAATTTGGCAAGAGTTTCACTAGAAATTGAGAGATAATTAGATTACAATGAGGCATGCACGTCGATATAGCTAGAATGGCATTGCAAGACCTAGCAAGCCCTCTGTGGGGCGAACTCTACCAGCACTGCAGACACAAGTGAACTTCTGCGCATGTGCGCACCTACGAAGAAGGTGCACGTAGACGGTCGCGCCGCCAGGGACATTGCGTATGTGCTAGGTAGAAAACGTGTCGACGGTTTCGCCGGCCATGCACCGTCGAGCACGTGATGCCGTTCCACATGTTGACTTCGCGAAAACCTCCTGGGCAACATTCGCCCACGCGTCGGATTTCGCAGTCGAGCGACTTGCGCCGACCAGGTCGAGTAGCGTTCGCCGAGCTCGTCAAGCAGAGCCCGTCGACCTACGCTCCTTGACGGGCCTCGTCGACCAGTACCTCTCTACGGGCTCGTTGACTAGCATCCTCTGAGGGCTCGTCGACCAGCATCCTCTGTGGCGTTGTCGACCGCATCCCGTCGAGCAAGGTCTGCTCGACCAGCACCTCCGCGGAACCTCGTCGACTAGACAACTGCGTCGACCTGCTTGCCTAAGTCGACATCGAGCTCCGCGAGCAGTCGGCGTCGACTTCTGCAGGCAGACGTCGTCGAGTTCTGCGTGCAGGTCAACGTCAAATTCGGCGGGCAGTCGACGTGGTCTTGTGCGCGCGGTCGAGGTCAACTTCTGCGCATGGTCGACGTCGACTTTTCCGCGCGGTCGGTGTCGACTTCTTTGGGCAGTCGGCTGCACCTCCTATGCATCCGACTGCGAAGTTGGCTTCGCCCAAGCGAGAGCGGGGCCATTTCCCGTCAACAGCTAGTGATAAGGCAGTCGGAGCGGTATTGATGCAGGATCACGGACGCGGTTTGCAACCCATCACCTACCTCAGTAAAAAGCTGAACGGAGCAGAACTGAACTACCCAATCCACGATAAGGAAGCCTTAGCAATTGTCACAGCCTTTAAGGCGTGGAGGTGTTACATCGAGGGAGCCAAAACTACAGTTTAGACTGACCATTGCAGTCTCAAATACCTCAAGTCGCAGCCTATGCTCTCACGACGACAGGTGCGGTGGATGGACTTCCTGGAAACACACTTCCACTATGACATCATCTACAAACCAGGGCTACAGAACAAGGCCGACGCACTGAGCCGCCTAGGGCATGTAGCAGGCATCCAGCTCGATGGGATGAACCTTCTGCTCAAGAATCTATTCCAACATGGGTACTCAGTGGACGCGGAAATCACTGCAGCAGAGAAGCAGAAACTGTTACTGTGGGAAAAATATTTAGCGGTAAGGAAAGGTCCAGGAGAGATTTGGGTACCAAACTATGCCCCACCCCGACAGATCCTACTGGAGGAGTTTCACGACATAGCATACACGAGACATTTTGGGAGTAACAAGACATTAGCGAGAATAGCGAAGTATTACTACTGGCCACGGGTGGCAGTAGACGTCCAGCATTTTGTCACCTCATGCGACACGTGTCAGCGGGTGAAGAGTAGCAAGCAGAAAAAAGCAGGGTTACTTCTACCTCTACATTTACCGCAGTAGCCATGGCAAGTCGTTAGCCTCGACTTTATCACTGGGTTTCCTTCAACCTCACGAGGGCATGATGCTATACTCGTGATGATTGACAAGTTCTCTAAATTGGGACACTTCATCCTGACCAACGCCACGGCTACAGCTGAAGCAGCTGCTCGCCTCTTCTTCGACCGCATTGTCACCATCCACGGCATCCCCGCTACACTCATTTCAGACAAGGACCCAAAATTCACAAATAAGTTCTGGAGGGAACTCATGGGTTTGTTGGGGACAAAGCTTGCGATGTCCTTGGCATACCACCCTAGACAGACGGTCAGACTGAGCGACTCAATCAGGTTGTTGAACAGTTACTGCGTACAGCATGCAAGGACGACATCAGCCACTGGGATCTACTATTTACCGACCGTGGAGTTCGCCTACAACAACGCATCTCATGCGGCCATAGGGAAAGCTCCTTTTTTACCTTTTTACGGGCGTGAACCCATCACACTGCAGCACCCAGCCACACCGGCACACGTCCAAGCCGCACATGACTTCGTCACCACTATGCAGCAGTTATGGGAGAAGACTCAACGACGTCTCACCACGATGCAATATGCCGATCGACAGCGACGTGATCACTCAGTAGCATCGGAGATCAGGTGCTACTCGACACGCACAACTTGGACTTATCCCGTCTTCCGTCCAAGCTCCGACCTCGCTTCTGAGGCCCTTTCGCGTTGAGACCATGGTGACACCAGTTTCATCCCGCTTGCGCATACAAACTACGTGGATGCTTCACATCTATTTCCATGTTGAGCTACGGAAGCCGTACAAGGACCCCAACCAACAGTTCCAGGGACGACAGCTACCGCCACCACCACCTGTTCCCATACAGGATGAACCAGAGTATGAGGTGGAACGCGTCCTTGCTCATCGACGTAGACGCGGCAACACGCTCGAGTTCTTGATACGCTGGAGGGGATACAACCCATCGGAGGACACTCGGGTTGCAGAAGCTGATATGGGCAACGCCCGCCGTGCTCTTAAGGATTATCTTGTCAAGCAGGGTGTTTTTCACTCCACCCAGGTTCGATCGGGGGAAGTGTGAGTGTACAGCGGCTACGCTTACCCATATAAATTTTCCTTGCATTATCTTAATTATTTCTGTTTTCTTGTGCTTGTTTTCCTAGTTCGTTGCTTTTCTATAATTATTATAGTGATAGGCTCCTAATAGGTTACATGCACCGAATTCTGTGCTTTTTGGTTTACCACCGAGATGCCTCTACCGAATTCGGGAAGGACCCATTCGGGACGCTTCGCGACCCTCGGAACCTTCTCGTAACATCCTGGTTACTAGCCTTGTTTCGTACCTATATATAGCCACTAACTAGCCTTGTTTCGTGCCTATATATCGCCACTAGGTTGTACTCAAGATCCATAATTTACATTTTGAGCTAGAGTCTAGATCCTCACAACATAGATGCAGGTCGACTATTAAACCGTGAGGCTTGCTACGCAGGTGCTCAGGTCGACAATTGCGCCAAGCACACCACGTTGACCACGTGTGCCTCCTGACCCCCAGGTCGGCTTTGCCAAAACCACCTGTCGACGACGTTCGCGCACCCCCGCAAAACTTCGTCGACTTGGTTACCCGGTCGACCAGAAAGGCCAGTAAGTCGGCGCCGACTTGGCAGTTGGCCGACGCCAACAGGTCGACGAACACCTTCGTCGACCGCCAAAGCCTGACACAGCCACCGACTTTATTTTGCCGGCGACGCCGCAATGCTCTCGTCGAAATCGACCAAGGTCATCGGCTTCACCCTTCAGGTCGATGCTGACCACCATGCTTCAGCCGGCCGCACACGTTGTGCGCCGGTCAGCGACGTCGGCTTCGCCCAAGTGGGGGCGGGGCCTTTCTTGTCAACATTTACGCCTAGTGCCAAATGACACACAAAGGACGAGAGAGTGATGTTGAGGGTAGACTAAGTGGTTGATGAGCAATGCGTTTTTGAGGTGGTGAATGACAAATTCAACGAGTGCCTAATATGGCTCTCAAAAACCATTGATTTTCATAATAACAAAGAATGACACATATACCCCGACCTACAAGCGCACTGTACCTACTTTTGGTTGAGTTTCAGATTATTGAAGATTTGAGAGTTAATCATTTCAAAATATGAATCAAACATATACAGGAGTTACAAAACGAGTGCATTAGTTTTATTTGGCATACCGGTAACACAAAGGAACACAACAACTAGTAGTTCATCTATATGTATATAACCAGTGTAAAAGATAATTATAATTTCTAAAATCACCACTAAAATTTGGCTGAATTTGCAGCACAGATTCATAATCCCTTGTCACATAAAATCGCTTCCATCGCTGCTCTCGTGTTCGCCCCTGCGCCACGCAGCGGCATACATGCAATCCGCGGAGCGAATATCGGAGGTGATATAGTCCTCTGTGCGCCCATCCAAGAATCCTCTGCCACTCTCGCTCTCCACCTCCACCGGCTCACGAAGTAGGCGGGTCAGCAGGCGGTACCGCAGCGAGCGCACCTTGCGGGATTCCTCGGCTTGGAACGTCTGACCCAGCACGCCGTGAACTCCATTCGTGTGCTGCACAATGGAGGAGGGAGAGAGTCGTCGAGAGGAGAGGGGGAGAGGAGGGAGATGGATGAAGGGAAGACAGTTCCATGGGAGAATGTGACCGAAAGTTACCATATTCAAAGTCACGGATGGTTATTGCAACATGCACCCGGGCACAGCACACCCAACACATGGAAACATCCAAGCATGCGATGCCATTCGTGTGCTGCAGAAGGGATGAGAAAGAGTAAGGGCGAGAGGCAAGGTGGGGGGTGGGGGGTTGGGTGGGGGGGAGGAGAGGAGGGAAATGGGTAAAGGGTGGACGATGGCCTAGATGGGTATCATGGCAGCAAGCAGTTGGGCATATCACAGCAAGCACATGATTGTGACAAACAATCACACGACATAATAAAAACAAAAGAAAAAAACGGCAAAGAAAGTTGCTCACATTGAGCCGGGCGATGTGCACGTTGAAATGCGCCTGGGCCTCTGTAGCTGTCTGCATGAGCGGATGGCGCTAACCGCGCTGTGATGCCCATGTCCACCAGACCGTCAATCTTGAGATGGAACTCATCCTGGTCCTTCCCCTTGCAGCTTCGTGTTTCCACCAGAAGCAGCTTGAACCCGCCGCTGCCAGTGATGGAAGAGCCGGCGGACAGAGGTGGGGCCACCGGCGAGCCGTCGAGCTCCAGCCGGTCGATGAACCCGCTGCTGCCCCTCCCTTGCTCCTTGCCGTCTCGCGCCTTAAAGTATGCCGAGTGTTGTGCGCCAGTCGAATCGCGCCACATCACTTGGAGCTCCCTGGTGGCACAAAGAATGAAGACGGTGCGGAATGAGAGGATCTGAATCGCAAGGGAACACTGCAAAACACTGCACAGTTTACACATGTAGCAAAGAACACACCTGATTTACAGCAAGGACAGTGTAACATACCTGATCCATCTGCGAATCGGCTTTCCCTTCAGAAGCTTCGCCTTCAGCTCATGCTTCTCATACTGAATCAAATGCCGCTCCCCCTCATCCCCTCCACTCCCGCTGCTGCGACGAACAATTTCTCGCTCAAGCGCTGCCACTACCTCAGCAGTCAACGTCAGGCTCAGATCGGCCCGCATTCTCTCCAGCTCGCTCAGTTCTTCCACGCTCAGACTCTCCTGCTCTAGCTGCCTGATATGACGTGGCTTTTTTCTCATTGGATGCCGCTTCCAGCACTGCAGCGAGTGACTCTTCGTCCAATGATGTCGCCGTGCCGGGGAGATTCGCGATGGGGTGGTAGCCCTTGATTCCCATGTTGACGTAGATTTGATGGTCAGAAAGCAAGCAGAAGGAGCGGTTGAGAAGGCCATTGAAGTCGTATTGGGTGCCGTCTGCGCCCCGGAAATGCGGATCGAAGTCCGTGTTGGCAAGGGGGTTGCACTCTCCGCAGAAGTAAGACGGTGTGATGTCTTTCTCCCAGTTTCTCACGGTGAGGCCTTCTTGTGAGCCCAGCATCGTGCATTGGCCACTATTTGCCGGTGTAATGGGGAGGTGATAAGAAGTTAGTCGCAAGGGGGAAGTGAGGCGGATTTTAAGAAGATAGTTTTGAGAGGGGGAAAGCGGAGGCGTTGACGAGCATAGTTTTGAGAGGGGGAAAGAGGGGGCGTTGGCGATTCACACCATGTGTGAAAGCATCTTGTAACGAAGGAAAAGGGTTCGGGTGTGGAAAACAGTGCAGACAATGCTCGTGTTGTCAGTGAGGAGAGGATAAGCGGTTAGTAGGCGCAGGTGGGGAAAGTAGTAGGCGATTTTAAGAGAACGTTTTGAGAGGGAAAGTGAAGGCACTGACGAGTGACACGCGGTGAAAGCACCACTGAAGGAATAGACTTGTCACACGGTGTAAGAGGGCAAGAGAAAAGTACAGGGGATAGTGAGGAGATTGAGCACAAGAAGCCCACAACGTGCCATGAACGGACATTGTGGTGATGCGCGATTTAGGTTATTTGATGACAAGGATCGGATATCAGTGGCGATGCTTACGGCTTGCCGTTCATTGACAGTGTGATGTGCGAGAACCTGCAGCCAACCTGCCTGGCACAGCGTTGACAGCATCCAGATATGCCGTTACACCAACCTGCCAGAGAGAAAGGGCAAAAGACGGCGGCAAGTAATAACAGAAGGTGCATGTGGTTTGATACAAGTGGTGGGCCACCGAGGCTGCAGACAATCGCCGCGGCAGCAAGAACCTTTGCGAAATTTGAACTGAGTAAGTAGGAAGGCAATACGGGGGCGGAATCCCAGTGGTAAAGGGGTTGAATCAATATTTACCCAGGATGTCTTCTTGGAACTAACGATATACGCAGGGTTGATGACATAGCGCTCAAAGTTGCAGTTAGCCGCTAATGTAGTCGTAGTTGTAGTCCCCCGCGGCGGGAATATGTTTCGGTCCAGACGCCTTCGTGTCTTTTTCTATATTGTCTATATAATGCCCCATTTTAAGCTTCAACACCAAAATTGCAAGGTCCGAAATTGGTCCAACACCTGTCCAGATCCGAAAAGTGTCCGGAAGGAGTCTAGGGGGACCCATTTGGGAATTTATTTCACTGTAGCTTCGTCCAAAAACATTCCATTCGGTCCCAGTTCGCTTTTGCTTGCAAGAGATACCCTTCGGACAGAGTTTGTTGGGTAGGCAAAATCTCGATTGTGAGTAGCGCGATACCACCAATAACACCGCTGTATTTGTTTTCTCTACAATGTCGACCCTCAATCCAACCACGAACCAAAAACAGGTAAGGTGATTGGCCAAGCCTCCCCAACCAACTTCTTCCAAGCCATCCACTTCCTAAGCCACACGTGTCATCCCACGAAACAAGCCAACCACTCAACCTTGCCCCCTCAATCTCAACCAAACCCCCATGTTTCTCCTCATGACACAACCACTTTCACCTAACCACTCTCACTTCTCTTTTTTCTTGTTGTGCTTAGCCCCTTTGCCATGGTAGCTCTTCATTTTAGCTCACGAAGAACTTAGTATAGCTTGCTAGCTCGTGTCTTCAGTAAAGCTTAAGAGTAAGATCCCATTCATACTTTCCTTTGTTTTTGCTTCTGTACATCTCCAGGTTTAAAACCCAACCTGACTTCTTCCTCTAGGCGCTCGACACTGCAGGTGAGTGCCTCAGCAGGCGCGCGCCTCTGCAGGTGCGCGCCTCATCAGGTGCGATCCTCTGCAGGTGGTTCTACAGGTGCGCGCGCGTCATCAGGTGCACGCATCTGCAGGTTCGCGCCTCTGCTGGTGTGCGCCTGCATGTGCGCGCGTCTGCTGCGCGCCTCTGCAGGTAAGCGTATTTTCAGGCGCACGATATGCGTGTGTGCGTCTGGCATTTATCTCTTCCTCTTTCGCTTTCCCCGTCGCACTAGGCCAATCGCTTCCCCGTTTCGCTCTCTCCTTTTGCTTGCCGACTCAATAATCTCCAGGTTCGTCGTCATTATCATGGCTCGCGGCATGAACGGACCCTGACTGTTGTCGGCCTGCTATAAGAACTCACGGCGAGACGAACAGGGGTCGCAAGTGAGCAAACGAAGTAGCAGTGAGCGGCGTACGGGTAAGGGGACGACGGCGTGTCGACGAGCAAAGGTATCTGCGTTGTTGGCATCGCGCGCGGCTCTGAAGGCACTGAAGGCGTGACTGTGTAGTTGCGTCTAGCTCAGCGCACAACCTCCTCGCTAACGAAACCCCAAATTTCAGATTTTTTGTATTTGTTTTTATTCAGGTAGGCAGAATATCATATACAAGAATATATATATATTTTTATGTAAGACAATCTCTGAGAACTCGTTCTTACGGTCTCTGAGAACGGAGCTGGGCTGTGACATAAAAAAAACCCATCCATTGTTCAGTGAAGCCACGTAAGCTTGGTTCATCTTGACTTCAAGGTCGAGAACAAAGGCATGCCAATTCCTCGTTTGGCAGTATCAAAGCTCCGAGAGTGTCTAGTCATGGGGCAACCTAAGTAGTATAGGTACGTCTCAGTAGTCAGACCGGCTGCTGTTGGAACTGAGGAATTCAGATGAATCTGCAGGTACACCAGATGTACTAATTTTGTAAGGACGCGGAACGCTGCAAAACGAGCAGGCGAAGGAAGGTTTTTGGCTAGTCAAACAGTGCATGATGACGAACAAAGAACCCTGGAGTTAGCGAGGCGTGCGACAAGCTGTAACTACAAAGTTTGTGCGACAAGAGTTAGCCTCGATTTTCCAACAGTGCACAAAAGTGCATCTGCGACGTTGACGACTTTCAGGCGAACCGAACAGAAAGGCCGATTTTGACGGACGGCGAGTGGAGACTCAAGCTTGCAGACTGTCAGCCCACGCTGGCAGACTCTAAGCTGACGCTGGCAGACTTCCTTTGAAGTGCATAATTTCTCGTTTTTAGAGTTTCGGGTCTAATACTATCAGGCCCTAGAAGATAACACTACAAAAAAAAGAGTAAGGGATTCTGGCTTGAGATTCAACTCAACTTTCTTGAAAACTAGTGTAATCTCTCATTCGTCAGGAAAGCTTTGAAAATCGCACCGAAACTGACTTATTGGAAAGAAACAAACAACAACAAGAAAAAACAAGAATGAGGTCGAGCGTACAACCTCGACGCCTGCCGCTGCCATCGCGATCGTTGTCCTTGGTCGACTTCGAGCGGTCGGCGGCATTCGCTGACTTACTGCTCGCCAACTTCCCGCTTCCGCCACTGCCCGACTTCCCACGCTGCCCTTGCTGACGCCCCTGCAGCGTTGGGGCGAAATCGTTGGCCTGCGGAAGAAGCTCAGTGGGGCGCCCTGACTCCCTCGTTTTGGATTATAAAGCTCGCCAAGGAGTCATCGTTGAGCTGTGCGCGCACGCTAGGGAGCCTCATCATCTGCCGCATCACGTTGTAGCCCATGGGAAGCCCCTTGATGACGTGCGTGACATAGGACACTATGTCTCTAGCTGCGACTCAATCAAATTCGTCCATGTCATAAGGTCATGTTGGCCTTCGAGTAGCTTGGGCACAGCAATCTTGTCCGGCGAAAATTTGATGTAGCCGTACATAGTTGGCTCGGACTCCTGCATGAACTCATCTTCGAAGATTAAGCTCGCCAAGGAGTCCTCGTTGTGCTATGCGCGCACGCCCGAGAACACCATCATCCGGCACATAATGTTGTAGCCCGAGTAAGTACCTTGATGATGTGCGTGACATAGGACACTACCGGATAGTCGACGTCGGCCATCAGCAAGTCGGCTAGAATCCGCCGAGCGCGGTTTCAATACTCCGTCGCCGACTCCTGCTCGCCCAACCTGATGTTAGACAATCGTTGCTCAAGTTGGCCAATGTAGAGGTCGTCGGTCGCCTTCTATGTCCTCATTATGAACTGCCATGTCAAAGTTATATGTCTATACATTGTTAGGCTATAGTGGGGCTAGCCTTAGGGGGTACAACATTCTAGGGTTTCATACATGTACTCCCATCTTGTTAGTCAACATCATTCTTGTTTATTAACATGGTTTCAGAGCCTAGGTTAGATCCTAGTACCGTACCTTCAGCTGTCCCTAGGTTCGCTCTTGCCCACACTGCCCGAGACTGTTCCCTGCCTTCAAATGCCCTATGCGCGCCCCATTCGGACTGCCCCGCGCGCGCCCTTTGCGCTGCCCCGCGCACTGCTCTTCGCGCTACCCTGCGAGCCGCCACTGCCCGCTCGCTGCGCGATGCCCTGCCACCCCCCCCCCTTCTTCCCCTCCCCCTCCTTCCCCCCCTCCCCCCCCCCTTTGCGCTGCCCCTCGCGCTCGCGCTCGCGCCGCCCTGCTCGCATTCGCTGCCCTGCGCGTTTGCGCTGCCCCATGCGCGTGCGCTGCCCCGTGCGTTCATGCTGCCCCGCGCGCTTGCCCTGCCCTGCGCGTTCGCGCTGCCCCGCGCGCTCGCTCTGCCGCACGCGCGCCCTTTCGCGCTGCCCCGCGTCCGATGCCGCTGCTGCTCGCGGGCCACCACTGCCCCGTGCGTCCCTGCCGATGCCGCAGCTGCACCTGCGGCTGCCGCTGCAGCTTAAGCCGCCGTTGCTACTGCGGCTGCCGCCACCCTGCCGCTACAGCCACTCCTGATGCTGCATCAGCCTCTGCCGCAGCCGCCGCCGCTGCCCCCAAAGCCACGACAGCCGATTCTGCCGCTTTAGCTGCTGCAGCTGCCGCCACA